TAGATGGGTTCAGATCCCTCCTCAATTTCCAGGCTTCTCCTTTCTGCCCGTCTGCAGTTACCCATCCTGTCCCTCGGTGCCTGGTCCGGTATACAACTTTCTAATCCTGTCTCTCGCCAGGTGCTTGCTTACTGTGTACAACGGCCTGTTCTTGTCCCTGTGCCATTCTCTATTCCCTCTCAACCAGTGATATGTCATTGGTTCTTTGTTTTTGTTTTCTTTGTTTTTGTTTTTGCCTTCACGGTAGAGCCTGGCAAGCTCCCCGTGACGTATTTGATATGCCAGACACAGTAACAACAAAGTCTCCAATGGAGACGTTACTGGGCCCGCTCGAGCAAATCGACGATCAACGGGAGGGCCTTTACCTTTACCTTTACCTTTACCTTGTTTTTGCCTTAGGAGGAGAAAAGAACTCGTAGAGGTGGGTATCAAGAGCTGGGAGAACTTCCCCTAAATTGGAAAGGGGAAAGTATCCCAACCCAAGAAGGATGCAGTCCAAGTTATAGTCCTTTCAACTCCTTAAGAAAGTATATATCTGGAGAGGGAGCCTAGACCGAGGGTACTAATCCTGCTAATCTCAGCTAAATTCCCAGATGAGCCATACATTCCAGGAAATCGTGGAGGCTTGGCCCCTCACATACGTTGCATGGTGTCAAGTTGTGGCTAGAGAGATTCAGCCTCCCTTCTTATAAGCCTCACTGGCATTGCCCTCAACTTTACCCGCAATCTTATCCCCATATAATTGCATAGTTAAATAAAACCAATGTGCTTGTTATGCAAACCTGGTCTCAATTCAGGGAAGAGTTGAATTAAGGAATTCTGCGCCCTTCTGTGAAGATACACTTGCAGCCCATCCCAAACTTTTCCTAAAAAGGGAAATTGTTGAGCTTCCAAGCAAGTGTAACAGCAGTGATGGACATAGATCAGAGAACCAACCCTGTATTATATATAGTAATAGCTGTAGATTTATTATTCTTCCAAGTAATAAGATGGGCATCAGAGCTCAATTTAGCAATGATGATGGTGATTAATAATGCAAATAGTGTTATTGATTAAATAACAAATATTTATTTCCCTAAATGTGTAGGCATGTCACTTTTATACTCTATATGTAGTGACATTCTTTAAAAACCATCAAGCTTCTAGTTTAGTTGCTCCTAAGTAAAGAAGGTATTTTGCTCAGAACTGGGAGTTCTGAAAGGGAAGCGGTATAATGAATGGTGTGGGGTGGAACAAGCAGGAGATAGTCTGGAGAAAGAAAGCTAAGAAAGAATTTCTACCGAGACAGGGAGTTTTCTTCCAGGGAGGTTCTCTGCTATAATTACATAAGGTTCTGTGTTCTCTCTCTCTCTCTCTCTCTCTCTCTCTCTCTCTCTCTCTCTCTCTCTCGTCATTTGTATTCTGACATTATTAGACCTTTTCCTGACTCTTGAGAAATTGCTCACAAGACTATGATAACAGGTAGAAGCCAAAATGACTTTCTTATTGGAATTCACCAAAGATGTTGAAAACTAGGCTAATGGAGGCCCAAAGACTATTTTAATCCCACAAAGGGCTTATTAATTTGATGAGATATACCAACAACAACAACAAAAAAGAATCAGAAAGTTCGTACAAAACTGGTTTTGTTTTAGTTTTTTTTTTTCTTTAATCTGATTTGGGTGTTTACTTGGCAACACTCAGCTGGACCCAGAAAGCACTGAGGCCTTTAACACCTGCTCGCTCGCTCACTGGCTCCCCCATGGGCCACGCCTTTTCTCCCTCTTGCCTGTGTCTGACCTGTTTCACTTGTTCTGGGGCCCTGAATGGGTGACTTCAGTGCCCAAGGAGAAATGGGAGATGGTTATTAAATATGCGGCCACCAGGAAGGAGGTGTGACTTGGCATTTGAAGGCCAATCAAGGCTCCATCCTCTACCTGCTGTGAACACTTGGCATCCGGATGAGTCAGCCCTCCTCGGGTCACTTCCTTTTAGCCCTTTTCTGCACTGAATTATTGTGTAACATAGATTTATTCTCAGTTGTTAAATCCAAATGATAACTGCTGAGTGCTGCACAGAGAGAGGTAGGACCCTAAGGGTGGATTCAGATGCTACCTCTCCTATATGTAAGAGGTTAGATAAGCAGCTGGTTTCTTTTCAGGGGAGAAAGGGAGAAAGGGTACCCTCTCTACACACACCCCAGTGATGTTCAGGGCTTACTCCTGGCTCTGTGCTCAGGGATCGCTCTTGGTCAGTTCGGTAGTGGTTTTTAAACCAAAGGTATCTCATGTCTTCGTTCCTTCATTTATAAATGGGTTCCGACAGCATGATCCCCAAGACAATTTTTAATTGACCTCTCCCCATCTTAACAACTCTACCTAGAATCCACTCAGCCCTGAAGAGGTCAAGTTCCTCCCTAAAAACCTCTCCAGACTTGCCCCCCTTCCTTTGAATTTTTGAACTTTTCACTAACATCCACCCAAATTAGCATTCACTAATCCTCTGACTGCCTCTCCTTGAGTACCTCAATTCATTTGGCAGGCCAGGTTTTTTAACAAAGTTGCCTGAAATCAGAGACAAGGCTGTTTTATGTTGAAGCCTTTTTTTACACTTGATCATCAGCATGAGATGGATATTTGTCCATTAAAAAGCTGAATCACGACACAGAAAATACGCGTGAAGATGGCAAATCTCCCCAAACTGCAGTTTCCATCAGTCCCCCAGAATGAATTACCCTTAGCAGCACTGCGACTTCCCCCGGTGATTCAGCCGCTCATCAAGTTGTGCGTGGATGAAGGGGAGAATGCACTACTAGCAGATTACCATTGCATGCCTACTTCCTTCCCAGGGTGGCCAAGTTCAAAAGGTGAAAAGCACAATCAGTCACTCACTTCAATACTTAAACCACCTACTGAAACTTGGCATTTAAAAATTTTTTATTTTTCCCTCACTGAGATGAAGACAAGACAATCGAAGACCAGAAGATGCTGCAGGTCAAGCAAGAGAAGAAAACTGCAGGGAAGAGTCCTGCCCCTCCCCCGCGCTCGGGTGTCCTGGGCTCTGAGTAAGCCAAGGCCAAGTCCGGTGTCCTGTGGGCGGGGATTTACCCACCTTGGCCGGAAACGCAGCGGGATACAGGTTTTACTCGTTCTGGTCCACCCCTCCTCCCCCCACCCCCCAATAATTAACGCGTTGGGTGTGTGGTCAGACCTTCCCCGTCCAAGCACAGCAAACACGAGCGAAGAACGATGATTCCAGGATGGAATTATTTTTAGAGCTTTTCTTTTTTTTTTTTTTTGGTGATTGCATTAATTCCCCTATTCAACGCATCCGAGGTAATTAACACTCTAGTAAAGTAGATTAACAAGTGTTAATCATATCCTAACAGCTAGACGATCCTAGTGGGTCGAAATTAAGTCAATTTAAAATAAATAAATAAATAAATGAATCCTGCCATATAGCCAACGCTCCATGCAGGTATTTCCATTTAATCCGTGTCCCAAAGACCCAGAAGGAGCTTTGTAATTCACACACAATCCAACACATAACAATGCTTGAGGGTGGGAGTCAAGGGGGTAGTCGGGGAAGGGATTTATCCAACGGGGCAGACAGGCAGGGGGGTGGGGGGGGGTGGGGATGAATCATTAAAAACTCCCTCTTGGATTTTTCCGGGCCGGGGGGTTGGGGGGTTGGGGGGAGGAGGAATCGTAGTCTCTGCAACTTGAAAGGATGAGAAATGGTAATTAGATGCTTATAAATTTTTTTCGGGGGATTCCCTGTAATACGCAACGTGACTGCACAACCCGCGCGAAGCCACAAGCTTGGAGATTTATTTATTTATTTATTTATTTTTCTATTTAAAGGCGGGGTGGGTGGGTGGGTGGGTGGGAGGGGGGAATGCCTTTCCACGTTTTCAAGCCTGTCCAAGGTCTGTTTTCATCATCATCAGGTGTCCGACCGCCCAGTTAATCCCTGCGCTGGGAGCGGGTAAACCCGCAGGTCGTGTGCAAACTCGGGACCGGACCTGGACTCGCAGGGGCAGGGGCAGGGGCAGGGGCAGGGGCAGGGGCAGGGGCAGGGGCAGGGGCGGCAGGAGCGGGCCGGGGTCAGCCCCGGAGCCCGAGAAGGCTCGGGGCAGGAGCAGCTCGCGCAGGGGCGGGCGCCCACCCGGCTCCCCCACCCGGGGGCCACGCCCAGGCGGCGCCCCGGGCAGGTGCGAGCCGCAGCCCGGCCCGACGTGCGGGAGCCCGGGGGGGGGGGGGGGGGGGATCCCCGGGGCCAGGGCGCGCGGGGACACCAGCCGCCCCCCGCCCCAACGCTCGAGCTGGGGCGGCTGAAAGGCGGTCGGGCCGCGGCGCGGAAGCGGGACTGCGCCCCGCCCCCCGCCCCGGCGCGCCCCCCGCCGTCGGGGCAGCAGGTCGGCGCGCGAGCCGACCCCGGGCAGCCGCTCCACGGGGGAGGGGCGTGTGTGGGGGTGCGTGGGGGGATCCCCCAGCTGGAGCCTGGCCCACCGCGGCCGGAGACGACCCGACGTGACGTCGTCGGAGGGGGAGCCGGCCGGCAGCGCGTCACCCCGACGTCAGCCGCCCGCCCGCCCGCCTCGCGGCCGCCCCGTCCGGGGAGCCGAGCGCCGGCGGCTCCGGGCCCCGCCCCCGGGAGCGGGCCGGCAGCCAATGGGGGCGGGCGCGGCGGGCGGCGGGCCAATGGGGCGCGGCGGGGCGGGGCCCGGGCCGGGCGGGGCGGGGCGCGGCGGCGGCGGCCGGCCAATGGGGCGCGGCGGGGCGGGGCCCGGGCCGGGCGGGGCGGGGCGCGGCGGCGGCGGCCGGCCAATGGGGCGCGGCGGGGCGGGGCCCGGGCCGGGCGGGGCGGGGCGCGGCGGCGGCGGCCGGCCAATGGGGCGCGGCGGGGCGGGGCCCGGGCCGGGCGGGGCGGGGCGCGGCGGCGGCGGCCGGCCAATGGGGCGCGGCGGGGCGGGGCCCGGGCCGGGCGGGGCGGGGGCGCGGCGGCGGCGGCGGCGGCCGTCTGGCTGCGCGCAGTATATGACAGCGCGTCCGCCGCGGGATGGCCGTAGCGGCGGCGGCGGCGGCAGGAGCCCGAGCAGCCGCGGCCGCAGAGGAGGCCGGAGCCCGATCGGCGGCGGCGGCGGCACCCCGGGGCGCGTAAGATGGCGGCGGGGGGGGCCGGCGGGCCTGCGGGAGGAGCAGCGCTACGGGCTGTCGTGCGGGCGCCCGGGCCAGGACCGCGTCACGGTGCTGCACGTGAAGCTGACCGAGACGGCGATCCGGGCGCTCGAGACCTACCAGCGGCACCAGGTGAGCGGCCGGGCGGCGGGTCGCGGGCTGGGGGCGCCGGGGCGGGCCGGGCACCCGGGCCGGGCGGGCGGGCGGCCCCTGGCGGCGGGGCTCCGACGGCGCCCGCGGGCGAGGCGCGGGCCGGGGTCGCGCCGGGGGAGACGCGCGCGCGCGCGCGGGGGGAGCGGGCAGGGCGGCCGCGGGACGCCCCGTGGGGGCGGGGGTCGCGGAGGGGGGCACCCGCAGGGGCCCCGAGCTCGGACCGCGGCCGGGCGCCGGGCACCCAGACCGCCCCGCGGGGAGGGCGCAGCTCGCCCACGGATGCCCGGCGCCCGCCGCGCGCATCCGCCACCCGCGGGCAGCCCGGGACGGTGGCGACCGCCGTCCAGCCGGAGGCCCCCGGGGGTCGCGCACCGGCTGCTGCGGTGATCGGAGAGGGTGGGGCGGGTCGGTCCCCACCGGTGGGCGGGGAGGGGGTCGCCCCGCGGGGACTCGCGGCCCCGGTGGGCCAGAATTCGTCCGTGGGGGCAGCAAGTGCGTGGGAGGTGGCGGCGGGAGCGCACCGGGGACGGGTTGGGGCCACGACGCCACGGGGGCCGGGGACGGACCGAAGGGTCCCCCCCACCCGCCGAGTTCCAGCCCAGCCCCACCGGGGATGCTGATTTGCAGCTTGCTCCGCGCCGCGGCCGATCTCACGGACCGGGCTCCCAGGGCCGGAGGGACCCCGGAGCAACCGACTCCCATCGTCATTGGGCTGCAAAAAGTAGGGAGCGAATTGACATCTGTTGAGCTCCCACTAGTGCCAAACCGGCTAAGTACATCGGGCGAGACCGAGTCGGGGCACTGTGTCGCAGGCGAGGTGTGAGCCTGCACCGGGTGGGAGTGCGGAGCGGGGCAGGTGCGCGCGGGGGAGCTCTCGCTGCGCACTGGCTTGGGAACACTATAGGACCCCCGAGAGACTGTGGCCCGTGGGTGCGCAAGAGTGGCGTTGAGCATGCTGGCGGGAGGGTGCTCAGGAGTCGACCGACAAGTCTGTGACTGCGCCACCCGAGGGACACATAGGAAGCAGCTGTATGAACACGCAGTCATGTGTGTGCACACCAGGAGAGCCAGGTGGAACAGGTTCATGAACACGCAGGTACATGGATGAACACACTGCCAGAGAGGCATGTGGGACAGATGCATGGACATACAGGTAGATAGATGTGACCCCGGAGAAATTCTCACGTTTCTGGGAGAGGAGAGAAGAGATGATGAACAGTGAGGGACAGAAGAGAGGGAGAGGGGAGAGAGAGAGAGAGAGAGAGAGAGAGAGAGAGAGAGAGAGAGAGAGAGAGAGAGAGAGAGAGAGATCTTTCTAGAAACCATAAAATTCCAGGGAGAAAGCAAAGCAACCCACGCATGGCCAGGAGGTCAGTGTCCACGGAGCAATCCAGACAGGAGGAGATGGAGGAAACACAAGCTGTGCTGGGACAGGCGCCTGCAGAGAAGAGGAGCAGCCGGGGGGAGTGGAAGGCCCATCTGGGAAGCCGGGCAGGGGCCAGAGAGGGACAGAGGCAGACACTGGAGGAGAACTGGGCCCCCTGAGATGCAGAGATAAGCTTGCCTGTTTCAAGGGAGGGCATGGGAAGGAATGACAGTGGGAAGGAGGTAGGTCAGGGAATGGAAAGAGGAAAAACACTGCAGAGGAAGCAGCTGGCAGCCGGAGGCCAGTTTCCAGTGAGGAACCGGGGGAGCAGAGAGAGACTGAAATGCAGAAGGAGGCATCGCTGGATGTGGGTCAGCCAGCCTCCTCCGGGGAAGGCCAAGCCTATTCTGTAGCTGATAGCAGCAGCAACTGACAGGCATTAACGGCTTGGCAGAAAATTGGTGGGTAGAGGGGACCTTTCAGGTAGGGGTGAGTCCCAGGCTCAGGGAGGTGACAGAAAAAGGGAGGGTCAGTGCTCACTGATCTGCGCGCCCACGGGGGCCCAGGAAGGGGGTTTCACTTCCCTGTGTCTCTGGTTGCCATTTCTACCTCCTTTTAAAAAAGTGTCTCTGTGCTGGGGTTCAAATTGGAACTCTGACCTCCCAAAGCCCCTACATTTATATAGCAGTGTCTTCTGCACCTCGGACCAAAACCTTTTTCTTTCCTAAGCCACCATTGAACTTATTTTATGTTTTTTTTTTTATATATTTAAAGCCAATAGCTATCTTTGCTGCTACCTCTATTGCCTGTAAGATCATTCTCATTTTCCATATGTATCAATGCACTCATCAGTCCCTAGATGGAAAGAAAGGGAAAAAGCCTTATTATTATTTTTTTTTATAAATGTGCCTCCATTTTTTTCTGAATATGGACCAGGTAAATTGAATAAAAATCCTAGGATTCTGTTTCTCCTGGAAAGCTGGTGATAAAAACAGTGGCAGGCAGAGGAGAGGGTGAGGGGGGTTAGGCTGATTGCCACTGAACTAAGATACTCCTGCCTAGTTTCTGACTTAACTGGCTCTGACTTTCACTCCAGCCAGGAGAACTCTTCTAAAGGGACCTGGAGAGCAGCACTCGAAATGAGACTTTAACCCTTCATAGCTGAAAAGTGGGGAGAGACTGGAGGGGACTCGAGGTGACTGTACACTGTCAGTTCTTACTGCAGTGTCCTCTGGCACGTTCAGCTGAGCCTGCTACAAACACATCCTTTTGTGCTTCTAGCTCAAACCAGATTGGGCACCCCCAGAAGGAAGCAAAGCAGCAGCTGCCAGGATCGTGCGTATGACAGGACTTGTCTCTCCCAGGGGAAGATGTTATTTGGCCTTTCATACCTTCCACCCATAGAAGCAGGGCTCCTGACTTTAAATGGAGCTCCGGGGAAGAAGCCTATTCTCTCTGAGATCAGATGGTTTTAATTTCTCACATGAAACTGCCCCCACGACCTTTCCTTGCTCCAATAAGGGAGATGCTTGGTGCTTGACAAGCCTCTAAGTGACCTTGTTCTGTACAAGGTTATGACTTTTACCTTCTGATGGCTTTCTAAGGACCAGGCATTTTAACAAGTTGATTTCCTCAATTAAGTTGATTTCCTCAATTAATTTTCACCAGAGTATCTTGTCCATTGGACTTACTCCTTCAGATCGATCCTTAGGAGGTACACGTAGGAATGTTAGAAAGTTTAATTTTGTCTGAATACAGAAGTTCTTTAGATATAATTGAGCAGGTATCAGGAATTATTCGGTTTCATGGAAACAAAATCCTTAATTGGAAACAGTTTTACACTGTTTCAAAGACAAACAAGTCTAATTGACCTTCATTATTCAAGCTTTCTATTTTTAGAGAAGAATTGAAGAATGCTAACTTGGGAGCCTTTCTAAATGTGGACCCGGGTGTGGGGGAGGTGGGTAAGGGCCGGAGATACTGTGAATCCCAGGATGGTAGTTACAGCTGCAGAAGAGAGAGAGCTCCTAAAAGTTGTTTGCTATTTAGTTCAAAATTGGTTATAGATAAGAGATTAACTAGGAAGTTATTTTTGTGGTTTGCAGAGTAAAATCAGACGTACTAATACTGGATATTTAGGATAAGTAGCAGGGTTACTTTTTTAAAAAACTGTAGATAATTGTGGGTGTAGAGACAGGTTTAGAAAAAAATAAAATCACAAATCGGAACTTTATAATCATCCTAAACTGTGTCTGGGATTGTGTGACCTGTATGATCTTTATTTTTTTTTTCTAAATGAACCAGTGTCATTGCAATTATATCTTTCTGTTAATAAGACTACTTAGAATTAAAGCCAAAGCTTACAAAAATCTGTTTTAGCTAATTTTTCAGTAATGCAGTTTATTTATGTTGACATGTGAGAACATTTGTAGTAATAAAAATTTTAGTAAAATAATGTATTTAGATTCTGTCACTTCTGAGTCTGTAAATCCAGGGATTTTTTCCTTGGGGAGAGGATGAAGGAGGCACACTTAGCAGTACTTAGGGGCGTCTAGCACAGTGCTTTGGGGCCAAACACCATGTAGAGTAATCCTGGTGGTACTTGGGGCTCCATGCAGTGCCAGGAATTGAACTCAGGCTTCTGCAGGCATGGCATGCAATGCAACCTTTGAACCATATCCCTGGCCTCAATAAATTGTATAAAAATATTTCCTCAGCAGGGAGGGAGGGCACTTGTCTTGCTAGCAGCCTACCTGAGTTCTGAGTTCAATCCCTGACACGCCATATGGTTCCCAAGCCCAGTGAGGAATGATCCCTGAGCACAGCGCCAGGATAAGCCCTGAATACCGCCGGGTGTGGCCAGATAAACAGAAAAAATGTTTCCTCAAAGTTATGACAGTGATGGCTCAAATAATATTACCACTTTTACTCAACTGTCCATGAAGAGTTGCTTATAGATTTGTTTTGAGGGGACGGACTGTACATTTTCTATGCCTGGGTTCAGAAAACAGATACCTTTAGGAGGTATTGTATTAACAGTCTTGCCAATTCTAAATACTTTTCCTGCCTTAATTAGTTCCTTCTAGGAAAATGTTAGCATTTCAAAAGTGCCTGAAAATATTATTATGTTTCATTTTGTATGAGGAAGATGCTGTTATTTCCAGTCAAAGCATAGAGACTTATTGACATCTCCTAGGCTGGTCTTTACGAATAACTGTCTTCTACGCTTTGCTTGATCTTCTAAAGTTGCTGATCCAACAGATCATGAGGCAGGTGATTTCCTCAACTTGGTCTTACTTCCAGATGAATGTTTAGCATTTGATTGGTTGTGGTTTAAACCTGGGGGCACAAAAAAGACTCAGATCTTATTATTTCTTTATCTCTTCCTCTTTCTGCCTGCCCTCTGACAGTCCTGACTGTGTGTGTGGCAGTAATCTGCTTTCCAAATGCAAATGAGCTGTTCTAAAGACACTGACTCCCCAGCCTTCAAGATCTGCCACTGACCATGGGTCATGTTTGACTGGATAAAACTGAAGTTTGTTGGGCAGTTGCCTTGCATGCAGCTAACCTGGGTTCAGTCCCTGGCATGCCGTAGGGTCCCTCAAACACCACC